GTACGCGACAGTCGACTTAATTTTTAGTAGATTTTTCATCATTATGTGTTGACATTTTGTGCTACGTGTGTACACATACATGATTTGTAGATTCGTTCTGTACTGAATATGCAAGTTTTATTCCAGTTCCAATGAGTACATATTTCAACTGGCATCGTGAGTACAATATCGACCAGCGCTTCAATTACGTAAATGTCTGTATCAAATATATCCTGGTCGCTTGAAGTTTGTTGTATGTCTATACCGCTGATTTTCTGCTAGATATTAGAATGAAAATATCAAATTCAACTTGGTCGCTTCAAGTCTGTTGTATGTCTATACCATCTACTTTCTAATACATGTCGCAAAATTCAGTATCTGAGCGATGAGGCGCAAGTGTTTTTGAATATTACTGCTATTTCAGATATTACGGCTGTTCTTGATGGGTTTGTTTGGTTCTAAGAACAGCCCAACGATTTTCACGTTCAACATTATACCCCTACAGATTTCAGTTCGCATGAGACCCCTAGGACATGTGAAAACCAAGGGGGCATCTGATCGGTACAACCCCGAACGGTGCTCACTTAGTGCGAAACTAACGAAAATGAATACAAAGCCTCAAGACAACCCAACTAGTGCAGACCCGGAGGTTACGAACGATGTCGTAGCTGCAGTCAATTCAGCTGTTGCTCAACCAGTCGTCCAAGATGACGAGCAAGGCAGTGGTATCAGTGAAGAAATCAAGGCAATAGATGATAGATCAGGAGTAAATAGTCCTGCATAGTCGCTTACAATTAAATTTTTAGGTTGATCTTCTCAGAATAATCGAATCGGAATACAACAATAGTAAACAATATATATATATATATATATACGTGTGTGTCTGTGTGTGTTTGTATGTGTGTGAAGAAGCATTGACTACACTTCCCGAACATCGCTCACATCATCGGAAACAACGAGGAGATTTGCTTAAATAGGAGAAATTATGAAATGAGTATATATATATATATATTTACATATACATACATACATACATATACGTACATACACACTCACACACACACACACACACAC